ATCAGCCTTTTCTTCTCCCGACTAACCATGCCCAATTCTTTCAACCTTTCCTACTAAGTCAGGGTTTCTCAACCTGTTATTTTTGTTGCTGTCCTCTGGTCTCTATCCAATCTGTTTGCACGTTTCTAGTGTGGTGCCCCAAACTGGACACGGTTCTCCATCTGAGGCCTCATCCGTGCCGAGTACTTTGGAGCAATTACCTCCCAAGCCTTACAAGTGACGCTCCTGTTAATACATCCCAGATGGTATTTGCCTTTTTCACAACGGCGTCACACAGTAGCTTTGCCGAGGGTGCCCGGCGTGCCGGAAAGGTGCTTCCTCATTGAAGAGAGCTCTCTCGAGAAACCATCAGGATGACAGCCTAGAGCAGTGGTTCTCAACCTGTTTACCGTTGTGGGCCGCATATGCAGCTCTCTCTGTGTTTCATGGGCCGCATCTACACAGTATGTATATGACCTGTCTGGCCCTGAGGAGGTCACGGGGGCTGCAGCTGTGTCCTGATTGGGCCTCGAGTTGAGAACCACTGATCTAGAGTCAATGACTCTGATTGTCTCCTAGGGGTCTGTACTGGGACTGGTGCTGTTCAACATTTTCATAAATGATCTGGAAAAAAGGGTAAACAGTGAGGTGGCAAAATTTGCAGATGATACAAAACTGCTCAAGATCGTGAAGTCCCAGGCAGACTGTGAAGGGTTACAAAGGGATCTCACAAAACTGAGTGACTGGGCAACAAAAGGGCAGATGAAATTCAATGTTGAGAAATGCAAAGCGATGCACATTAGAAAACGTAATCACAACTATACATATAAAATGATGGGGTCTACACTAGCTGTTCCCACTCAAGAAAGAAATCTTGGAGTCATTGTGGCTAGTTCTCTGAAAACATGCACGCGATGTGCAGCGGCAGTCAAAAAAGCGAACAGAATGTTGGGAATCATTAGGAAAGGGATAGATAATAAGACAGAAAACATCATACTGCCTCTATATAAATCCATGGTACGGCCACGTCTTGAATACTGCGTGCAGATGTGGTCGCCCCATCTCAAAAAAGATATATTGGAATTGGAAAAGGTTCAGAAAAGGGCAACAAAAATGATTAGGGGTATGGAACAGCTTCCCTATGAGGAGAGATTTAAAAGACTGGGACTTTTCAGCTTGGAAAAGAAACGACCAAGGGAGGATATGATAGAGGTCTACAAAATCATGACTGGTTTGGAGAAAGTAAATAAGAACGTGTTATTTACTCCTCATAACACAAGAACTAGGGGTCACCCAATGAAATTAATAGGTAGCAGGTTGAAAACAAACAAAAGGAAGTCTTTCTTCACGCAACGCACAGTCAGTCTGTGGAACTCTTTGCCAGAGGGTGTTGTGAAGGCCAAATCTATAACAGGGGTTAAAAAAAGAACTAGATAAGTTCATGGAGGAGAGGTCCATCAATGATTATTAGCCAGGGGGGCAGGTGTGGTGTCCCTAGCTAGCCTCTGTTTGCCAGAAGCTGGGAATGGGCGACAGGGGATGGATCACTTGATGATCACCTGTTCTGTTCATTCCCTCTGGGACACCTGGCATTGTCCACTGTCAGTAGACAGGACACTGGGCTAGATGGACCATTGGTCTGACCCTGTATGGCCATTCTTATGTTCCCTATCTACTGGCCCATTCCCATGCAACTATGAACTCTTTACTCAGAAACCCGACCGAGGAAGAGGCTGGAGTGTCTCAGCTTGGGAACCTGGCAAAAGGGGACAGAGACTATATTTAAAGGGGGTACCCTTTTGTGGGGAGGGGTCTGCCACTACATGGGCTTCAGAGAGAAGGCAGGAGAGGTTCTCCCTAGCCTGAATCACAGACAAAACCTCGAGGAGAGCAGAGAAAAGCAGAGGAGAGAGTGGGTGACGAGCCGGGAAATCCATGAACAATTTACGAATGCTCTGTGAGGTTCTGAACTCTCCGTGCGCATCTGTGTCCTACTGCAAACCCCATTTTCAATTGCCAGGCTGATCTCTACCTTCCCACCGTCTTCCGAGCTCCATCCTGAACTAGAATTCCATAAGGGTTGCTGCCATGGGGCTAACAATGGAGGGCCATTAACCTTTGACCACTCGCCATCCACACAGGTCCAGAGAGAGCAGCTAAGCAAGGCAAAGCCGTTTTTATAGGCCGATCAGGGGGGATCACTTGGCAACAAAGTCACCTGGCAAGCATCTGCGGTGGCCTGGGGAGAATGTCGTTTGATTGGGGGCGGGGTAAACATAAAAGAGCAGGAGTTGCTTCTTCTTCAGGGCCATTTAGCTCAAGAGGAGGGGGAAGCCCAGCATGTAGGAGCCTGCGGAGGCAGGGAAGCTGCCTCCATACCTGAACACAGGTGGTCCCCTCCAAAGGCTCCCAAGGACAGGGTGAACTACCGAGGGGCACTGCCCTGAGAATGCTTGTTGTGTTCTGTATGATCATGTGTGTGTTAGCTGTTAAACAAAAGAGCAATGGTGTTCCCTGTGCAAAGTGTATGTGTGTGTTACATGTAGGCGTGGAAGGACTAGATTTTTATCGTAAATGTTGATTTCACTGCACACACACAAATAGATGTAAAATAGTTCCATTGAAAACAACCTGAAATTGACGAATAGGCAAAGTAAGAAAAATGCTGTGTGAGAAACTTTAGAGTCCAAATCCAGGTATTTGGACCTTTTCGATTAGGCTTATTTCAAAAGCACTAGGGAACGAACCGTAAAAACAAGTACGATGGGTTGATGTAAGGATATGTAGTCTGTATATTCTGATGTGTGATGCTGACAATTTGTGGTTTAATGGTTTATAAAAGTTTGAATTTTTTGGCTCTCGACGCATACGGTCATTAAATAATTGTCGGACCTTTCAACTGTGACAATTATTCCTGCTACGGTGAAATTGCAGTTTTCCTGCAATTGTGAAAATTTTCAAAGATAAAAATCTAAAACAAAAACAAAAAAGCTTCAAAATAAACATTGCTATTATCTGGTGAAATCATGAAAAAGTAAAAATCAAATTCTGCCTAGAGTAGTTATATGCCTCACAACTACTACAGGGCCCCTTGAAAAGAGGTAGCTGAGAAATATCACACCTTGGGGTGGATTTCTGGGTCAGGTTGTGTTTAACCAAAGAGGTGCGGGGGGTGGTCTGAAAGATCAGCATTGAGCCAAGGGGTTAGCAGCTGGACAGCGGGTTCTAGTTCTTGGGGGCGGGTGTGTGTGTGTGTGTGTGTGTGTGTGTGTGTGTGTGTGTAGAAGACACATGGTCTGTCGACCTGACAGTGTGCCTC